ATCTGATTTTTTAGAAGTTTACGATTATTTTAAGCCTATTCCCATTGTAATTCAATAAGATTTAGTCTGCCTACAAGCATTAAAAGGAATAAATTTTTGACCTGGTTTCTTAAAAAAACACCCGGTTTCTACAACATTTTAAAACTGCCGGGTTTTTTTATTATATTGGGATGGATTGCAAATTTTTAGGGGGACTTTTTATTTGTAATTACTTTTTTTGGATAAAAATTGTTTACAAATAATAGCATTATATTAAATAAGATTGCAGTTGTTGGGAAGGTTAGGCAGGGGTGGAGGATATGCCGCCCCCCTCCAATTTTTATACAATTTTTTTAACTTTTTGAACAAAAAAGTTCACTTGAATTAAATTGAATCACTGAATTAAGTGTTTGTTTGTGTATTATCTAAGTTAAAAATTAGGGGCGTTTAGCCTACCTTAATAATTATGCACATATACGTATTTAGAAAGCTTATTTTTTCCATATTTATTAGTAAAAATTACAATTTTTATTTATAGAAATGAAATTTTTTATAAATAAACCTGACATAAATATATGAAATAACAACTTTTGATATATATTTTGATATTTAATAATCACATAAACAATTTCATGTAACAATTGCATGTTAAAGAATTTCAGACAAATTCTTTTTGGAATTGACTGAAAACTTTCGTCTGAGATTTGAAAGTGAAATCATCAAAGATTGCTTTAACTCCTCATCCTGGCACATGTGTGTTAAGTCTAGGATGAGCTTTACTACTGTTAATTTTTCTACGAATGTTTTCAGAACTCGATATCCTGAGAAATTATTCCAATCTCTAAAATAAAAAAAGTTATACTTAAATATTTTAAAAATGCCAAAAAATAACATAAGAAACAATTTGTGAGAAATATTTACTTGGAGCTAACTTGCATCCATTCTGTTTCTATTACAGATAAATTTAGCTGCTGCATGAGAATCCAACTTTGAGGTCCAACCAGTTGCCATAACTCTGGAATTTTTTTTATGTCAATATTTGGAAAAAGTGGTTTTCCCAATGTTAAATTTGAAGGTCTAGGATATAAAAATAGCTTTTTGGCAATTTTTTTTCTAATGTTATTGTCAAGTGTTTCGTCGCAAAGAGCAAACACAACATTTGTGTTTGCAACATTTGTGTTTGCTCTTTGCTTTTCTGTAAGAAACCATAAGTGATTTTTAATACTTTTAATAGCAGCAGTTGACACAGTTTTGTAAAATGATCCATACTTGGTCATATCCCTGATTGCACATAAGTCTAAAGAAGGAGAAGAAACTGCCAATGGTGCTTTCAGAAACCATGTTGCATAAAAAAGCCCAATAAACTCAGCAATTTGAGGGACTGTTGCTATTTCTTCTTCCCTAATTATATCAAATTGTTGCAAATGAAATGTAAGCAGTTCTATTGTCATTTAGTAGATAGCTTTTGAAAGAAATATTGCATGATGAAAAGCTATAGGTTTACGAAAATTAAAATTATAAGCTTATCACTGCCTAGCCAAACCAAAACAAGTTCTGCTAAATGCTTATAGTCACCATGAGGAAACTTTTCTGTAAACAAGGCGTATTCAAGGTATATTTTGGTTTTTAGAGCCTTTGAAAAAATATAATGCAAATAAGTTTATTATGTTTTAAAAATTTTCAGAAAAAAGAAATATGCAATTCTCCTTACCTGTTCTCCTAAAAATGTTCCCTTTCTCTTGCTCCATTTTAACCTGTTAAGATTGTTTAAATTTATGTCAGGCTTAATAGTTTCCCAGAAATTTTGAATTTTTTTGAAAAGATTATCAACTGGTCCATCAGACATATTTCCAGAAACTGCAAGTGCTACATGCTAGATGACAAATGACAAATGAGATTAGGAAAAGGCTATATGAGTAAACCAAGAATAAAATTATTTAATAGTTCTATTTCTAACCTTAATATGAAGCTCATATATGTGATGTCTGCAGGCAAACCATAGTAATGGTCTGTCCTGCCATTTTTCTAGCAATACACAGGCACCCTGCATCCAGCCTTAATTTAATTCATTTATTCAATGTGAAATTTTTTAAATAAAAATTATGAAAATACAAAAATATCATTATACAAAATGTCATAAAATGTCTTTATTATTTTATTGAGTTTATTTTTCTCACCTGTATTTGAAGATGTAGTGTCAAAACATACACTATGTACCGAATCCCAGAGATTCTAAGATTCCAGTATTTCCTTAATTGCTTTTGCTTGTGTTATTCCACGACTATCTGTGATATAAAGAACTCCAATAAGTTGTTCTTTATCAATACATGGACTTGAAATCACTAGTGCTAACCGCTCAACATTTATATTCGCACCATAAAAATACTCTTTTACTATTTTTGTGTCAAAATGAACACAAAGTAGTTTCCCCTTAGCTTTTACAATAAAATCTTCTTTAACTTTTAAACCATATTCACTAATTACAGCACTTGAATGAACCTTTGCTGACGTAACAGAAATATCAAAGATTTCCGCCTGCTGAGTTGATGACATTAGCCAATGTAGCGGTATGCGCTGAACTCTGAATACCGTATCTCTTTGCTCTAACAGCAGTGGCCTTTAAGATTTTTCTAGGTAGCATAACTTCAACAAAATCTGTTTTTCTCTTATGAGATCTTGGTTTGCAGTCCTTTTGATATTCAAAATCTTGATTATCCTCTTTGTTCTGTGCTTCTACACTGCTATTTCTAACCTGATTTAAAGTTAAATTGGTTATAAATTCAGAAGCTAATCTGTTACTATTTGAAGTAGTCATTCTCTTATTGGTAAATTCAATCCCCTTTTGCTTTCTACGAGTAGTAAATAAGTACTTCTTGTCTATTCCACCCATGACAGCTTTACGTTCTCCTCGTTGATCATTCAAAAAGTTTATATCAATATTTCTTTCCTTTTTAGTGACTTGCTTACTCAATAGAATTTTTTGCTGTGCATCATTCATACTAATATCAAATAAGCACTTTATTTCAAGTTTGTAAGCGTCTATTTTTCTTAAATTGTGTGGTGTGTCTCGTAATTTGTTCTTTGATAGTTTCTTTCTACGATCTTTCAAGCATTATATCTTACTTCTATATAAAGAAACAACATTTTATTCTTACAGTAAGATTCTTTAAGTTTTAGTTTTAAAATAAATAAATACTGTGTATACAATTATTATTTACCTAATATGTTGGTCAGCTACTATTGGGATTGCACTTATTTTCCAGATTTTCTTCAGTGACGAAACAACACATGTGCTTTTAAGAAAATTACACTCTTCAGGGTTATTGCAACCAATTTCAAAACTCCCATGTGGAAATTTGCAAGAAACCATATCACAGAGTCTATATTTTAAATTTTCTTTTCTTGCTTTGAATAGTTTGCGATGTAAATATTGCAGAACTTGCTCTCCAGTAGGCAATTGAGATGATCAGGGTCCAAAATTCTTTGAGGATTTTATTTTGAAGGTTATCTTACCGGTCATTGTATGGATTTTTGAGGTCAAAATTTGATATTTGAGCCCATTGAGCGGGGTCCAAAATTTGTGCAAATGAGTTGAACTTTGGTTTTTATTGATCACAGAGTACACCCACACCACATGGAAAACAATGCCTTTTGATTTTCAAAAATGAGGGGCGTTTAGCCTACCCTAATATATATATATATATATATATATATATATATATATATATATATATATATATATATATATATATATATATATATATATATATATATATGTACGTTTATATTTATTATTTTTTTTTTTTAGGTTATTTAGGTCCATAGGATCTTGTCACGGAGTACCATTCCATGATAAGACTGTAAGGACCTAAATAACCTAACTAGAAATTCACGCCCCCTTTCTTACCAATGTCGCTTATTGGGCTAGAGCCGGCATCGAACCCCGGACCTCTGGGTTCTCTTACCACTGCGCTATGTCTGCTCTTGATATAAAATGACAATTTTTGTATACAATGACAATGTTTGTCCCGTCAGTAAATTACACAAAAGTTAAAATTTTATTCTGGTCATGATGATTTATCCTTCATATTTCAAGTCATGCTTTAATATAATGTTATCAGTGAATTCATACAAAAGCAAAACATGTTCCAGAAACATTTTACGAATGAAAAATTTAGAAATCTTTTTACTGATGTTTTTAAATAAAATATTAATCAATAAACCGAAAAAAAAAAAAAAAAAAAATTGAAATAAACCTGGATTGGTTGATGCTAAAACTCAAAAAATGTTTGTTTCATCTTCGCGTTAAAGCTTGCATAACTTTATTGCTGACTTTGCTGACGCAACTCGTTGTTATTTTTTTTTAAATCATTAGCGCATTTGACTTTTTGCAATGATTTTTCGTCAATCTTTTTGACAATTGGTGAAAGTTGTTCGAAAGGGCGAATTTCGGGACAATTAAGTGATATGATGTCTCTGGCTACAAAAATGACTCCGTTTAATTTATAAAATGTTTTAAATAATATTAAGTTGCTATTTAATGCTAAAATTCTTAAAATTTATCTTAAAAAATACAAATATCTCTTTTGCAAGCGCTCTTCTATGTAAATATACTCTTCTGCGTATTTACATGTTCCTGTAGTGAAAAGAGATGTATTTTATTAATCACTGCCAAGATTAGCTTACCAAATAAAATATCTTTTCAGTAGCTATTGAAGACCTAATTTCTTAAATGATAAGTGAATGTGAGCTCTGATGATTTCAAGCATTTGTTAACTTAGGTTAGAGCTTATCGGACGCTACATTGCATTACTTTTCATTTGTGACTGTGCCTATACTAAGCCAAAACGATCTTCGAGTATTTTTGGCATAGAAAGTTAAATCTTATTTAGTAATTAATTTTTATCTACAGTAGTATATGAAAGTATATTGTTTGTTACTATATAAAACTTTTTAACATACTTTTATTATAAAACTGTTTTATTTTACAACTAAGATTTAATATATGTTGCATATACCTAGTAAATAAAACCATTTAATATAACGTTCAAAATGATTTGGTAGTTGCTAGATCCAGAAAAGACATTTTCTGAATGTTTCAAACGTCTTTTAAAATTTTTTTTTTTTAATTAAAAAAAATTTTTAAATATATTTTTGTTGTTGTTGTTGCTCTTATTACAATACGTTTTGGTATAAATATCGTTATAAATTAAATATCAGAACACGGAAACTCAAAGAGGATTGTAAGATCATGTCACTTAGAACCGTTTAAAACCATAGCAGTAAAAATATAACCAGTTAAATAATTAGAATAATTGACTTCTAGAAATTAAATTTAAATCTAACAAGAAGTTTCAAAACATAAAAAAACGTTTAACAACATAAAGAATATGTATAAAACTAAATATTTCAAAATAAAACAATATATTCAGGAATCACACACTTTTTTAAAAGGTATAAACTCAAAAGATATTATCAATTGACAAGATAATTTTTTTCAGCCTAATTTTAAAAGTGAGAAAACTTCAGCTTTGAGAAAAATCAAAATTTTTCAAAACTTTTTTGTTCCGCAGAAGTTCTCCGCGATATGTTAAAAAAGATCTTGCAAAACTTGTATGAGAATAATTTTGATGAATAAAATTGTCATTTCTTATTTCATATTTTTTATTTAAACGATATACAGGTTAGGTTTATCTTACATTTGTACATAATAAAAGAACATTAAAAACGTTTTGCTGGTATATATTAAGAACATTCATTTCCAATAAAAGAGGTCTGGCACGAGTATAACAATCTTTAAAGTTTATTAGACGTGCTATATGCTTCTGTTGCCGATATAGAGGATCTAATTGAATTTTTTTAGCACGATATTTGACATCTTTCCAAGACAAAAAGCTCTCTTGGTAATTCTTTACAATATTATCCGTATATTTTGTAATTCCTAATGATTTGGTTAAGGGGTCATCCTTAAATTACATCACGCTTTAAGGGGAAGGGGAGGAGTTAGTGATTTTGTGACGACTCATACGGAAAGAGTTAGAATGTTATGATGAGGGGGGGGGGAGGAGGGGTATAAAACGGTCAAAAATTGCGTGATGTAATTTGTAGACAACCCCTAAAAAAGATTAAATTTTGTTGTTACTTGCTATTAACTCATAAGCTTCTTAACTAATATTGAACAATGAAAACAATATACTAATATCTTTGTTTATTTTTTAATTTGACATTTAGAAAAAAATTGACACTTTTTAGCAAGAACACAGCACTATCTTTTATGTCTTGGTTCAAATTATATTTTTTAAAGCATTTTTTATGCTTAAAATCATCTTTATCAGAAGCTAAACTCTTGATTTTCTAATTTAGCCGATTGCAGTACTGACTTAAAGGAGGGTGGAGGGGTCTATGTTCCTGGTACCACAGTTTTAGGACCCCATTTCTTTAAAAAGAACTTTTTTTATTATTTTCTTTTTATGCTAATATATCTGTTTAGGGCTTCTAGCTTTAGGCTCTTAAAAACACTTAAAATTCAAAATATAATGAAAATGTTAAATTAGAAGTATTACGCTCTGTTTTTTTATTAATAAGTTTATAAAAGATATAGTGTTGAGCTCGCCGTTATGTGTTAGTACATGATTAAAGAACCCTTCAATTTTAGGAGTTGCAGCAAAAACCTTGTTTTCTTTTTTTTTCTATAAAAAAATTCTATAGCTCTATAGCTCGTGCACCGTCAGATTTTTTTTATTCCCCAGTCAAACATATTCGTTAGCTCTGATAAATATTGAGTAAAAGAAATTGATAAAAAAATTAGGCTTTGTCACTTTGTAAATAAAAAACTAAATTCTAACGCATCCTACGTTTATATTATTGGTTTTATTTACTTTTTTCCTTTGCCGTTTAACCAAGTTTACAATAAAAAAGATCGTATACGTATAATAAATAGCCGGAGCAAGAAGAAGCCGTATATTATCTTATCACCGAGCCCCGTTTACATTGTCGCCTTCAGTTTATGTATAGGGTTGCCAGACGTCCGGCTTTTGCGAAGGAGAACACAGTAAAAAAATTTATTTTTACGGGTTTGGCGCTGTATTTTCCGCCGTAAAAGCCGGACGTCTGACAGCCCTATTTATAAAACAAGTTAAAATTTAAAGTTAAAAATTTACAGATTGAAGATTATATAGTAAAACACAATATATTACAATTAAATCGTATAATAAGATATATTTTTTTGTTTAGTAATTTATTTTTCTTTTTTATAAGAAGAAAATAAGAAGCAAATCAAGACAGAAATCTGTGAGTAATGATGTTTTTTCCAGTTTATTTATTTTAGGTACATATTTTATACATATTTAGAAAAAAATTTTAAGATCGAAGTAAATTTCTAATAAAAATCGTTTCGATTCTCTTTTGAATTTTTCTAGTGAGAAATTTAGAAGAGTTTTATTTTTAATAATATTTTTCAAAAAACATTTCCATATAAATGGTCCACGGTATTGAAACTTGAAACGAACTGAGTTTTAAAAA